CTAATCTCGAGCTCCTCAATGATGACTATACCATTTACCGGAAAGATCGCATTGCTCAACGTGCTGGAGGGGTACTAATCGCAGTGAAGAACGATTCGTTCAAAAGTGTCAAACGGTACTTCCCTACATCAAAATCAGTAGACCAAACAGAAATAGTGTCAGCAGAACTTACGACGCATCACGATCAGAAAGTACTTTTCTCTTCCTGTTATCGCCCACCGAATTCTGGATCTGACTGGGTAGATACGTTTAATGCTTTCCTCGACCAAGCGTGTGATCAGTTCGATAAGGTGTTGATTTCTGGTGACTTCAATATGCCACATATTTCCTGGAATAACACTGGTGAAACTCCTAGCACAAGTAATTCATTTATCGAAGCCCTAAACGATCATTTCCTAACCCAGATTAACAGCATCCCAACTCGAGATAACAACATCCTTGACCTTATTATTACCAATGTACCTGAACATGTTAACATAACTGATGTGGAATCGCCAGACAACGCCGTCGTTTTTACAGACCATTGTGTACTCCACTACGAGTTTAATGCATTTGTTGAAATTCCAAAAACAAAGAGTCAAAGATACGTTTACAACTACAAAAAGGGCAACTTTGAAGGTTTACGTTCCTTGTTATCTATCATTGACTTAACTCTGTGTATAGAACATGACAATATTAACGATGACTGGACATCTTGGAGAAATACTTTTCTCGGCGCTGTTTCGAAATATGTCCCAAGCATAAAACTAAAAGGACGAAAACAACTGCCCTGGATAAACGAAATGATTTTACACCTGATTAAGAAAAAGAACACTGCGCGGAAAAAACTAAGATCGTCCCCGACGAGTCATCTACGCGAAAAATTTAAGCATTTACGTGCCACTATAAAACGTATGTTACGCGAAAGTCGAGAACAATTTTATGTGTCTTTGGGGAACAACTTCCAAGAGAATCCAAAACGATTTTGGTCCGCAATGAAACATCAGTCCAAAACGCGCAACATCCCAGATACAATCTTTACAGCTGGAACAAAGAACGGTCATGAATCCCAGTCATCCAGGATCAAAGCTGACAACCCTGATGATATCACGTCCATGTTTAACAGCTACTTTGCATCAGTATTTGACTCTGATGACTCTTTGAGGGAAGAAACCAGCCATGACCTCGAAACTCCAGTCTTGTCTGAGATAATTCTGACAGTTGAGGAAGTTCAAACAGTTCTTGAAACATTGGATGTTACAAAAGCCACAGGACCTGACAACGTCCCAGCCCGTCTGCTTAAAGAAACTGCTCCTGTTATTTCAACGTCTTTGTGCACGCTTTTTAATAAGTCCCTAAGTCAAGGTGCTCTCCCGGAAGATTGGAAAATCGCCAACATAATTCCTGTGTACAAGAAAGGTGAAAAAGAATATGCTGAAAACTACCGGCCAATCTCACTCCTTTCAATTATGTCGAAAGTTCTGGAACGCTGCGTCTTTTATAACATCAGGGAGCAGCTGTACCAGGTAATTAAGACCTCGCAGCACGGATTCACCAGAGGAAAATCATGCGTGACCAATCTTCTCGAAGTTCTCAACTATATTGGCTCGATTTTGGATGTTGGAGGTCAAGTCGATGCTGTGTATCTTGACATGTCTAAGGCGTTTGATAAGGTAAACCATAAACATCTGTTGCACAAATTACGGATGGCTGGATTTGGAGGTAGTCTCTTGCAGTGGTTTCAATCTTACCTAACCAATCGTCATCAACGTGTAACTGCACAAGGTTCCACCTCTACTACCCTGCCAGTTACATCAGGTGTACCTCAAGGGTCCATCCTCGGTCCAGTCCTATTCAGCCTCTATGTCAACGACCTTCCAGATACAGTTACATCTAGTCATGTTGCTATGTTTGCTGATGATGCAAAACTGTTCAAAAACATCAAGTCCGTCAAAGACAGCGAACAGCTTCAAAACGATCTCAAACATTTAGAAACGTGGTCTGAAGAGTCTGGTCTCAATTTTAACGAAACGAAATGCAAGACACAACGTATAACAAGAAAGATAACACCATTAACATTTAATTACAAACTTAACAACGGAAACTTAGTACAGACTGAATGTGAACGAGATCTCGGCGTTTTTGTGGATAAAAGCTGGAATAGACAAGTGTACGAGCAGTCAGCAAAATCAAATAAACTATTGGGTTACATCAGGAGATCCACAATCTATATCCACAACCAGGAAGTGAGACGCACATTATACCTTGCACTAGTTCGGCCACACCTGGGGTACGCTACCCAAATATGGGCACCACAATCCACCGAACTAATACGCCACGTCGAACGAACTCAAAGAAGAGCAACCAAATACATCCTTAGTCTTCCATTCTCCTCCTCTACTGACTACACCACCAGACTTCAAACTTTAGGACTCTTACCGATCTGCTATTGGCATGAATATCTAGACATGGTACTCTTTTGCAAAATAACTCACAAACTAGTAATCATCGAAGCATCACTACATCCAACTATCCGCACTTCCAGATCGACTAGATCCTCCGCCAATAACCGTCCTAAGTTCGTCGTGCCAAAATGCAAAACGGTAACATACCAAAGATTTTTCATGATTCGGGCAACTCGAATATGGAACCATCTCGTTGATGAACTTAATTTGAATACGGATAGTCTTTCGTCATTTAAGTCGGCAATGTTTAAGTACTATATTTCCTCTTTGTACTCGTGTTACGATGTTGAGGATCCTCGTAGTTATAAAACTACATGTCCTAAGTGTAATTCTGTTCGTAGCCTCACAGCGTCATTATTGTGCTGTATGTAGGAACTGTTAGTACTGTTCTTTGTTGTTTAATATATGTATTGTTGTAATTTATTTATTCGGGCCCGCAGTAATTGGCAAACGCTGTTGCGGATTCCCTGCCACTGTAATATGTACAAGGCGAATTAAATAAATAAATACAAAGTTTTTATAACCAACGAAACCAAATCTTATATATATATATATATATATATATATATATATATATATATATATATGGCAAAAAATATATGATGGAATGCCAAATTATGAAATAGCTAAGTGCACAGCGCGCAAGAAAATCTTAAAAATGCAATTTCAAGTTGGAGCACTAAGGACAAGGTTTTCGCCATTTTGTTCACTTGATTGTTAAATTTGTTAAATAAATTTAGATGCATAATTTTGCACACGGAAACTATACTTTGCAATTGTCGAATTTTTTTCAGTCTCCAATTCGAGATATTGCTGAATAGTCGGGGCGGTTCTTCTTATTTTCTATGTTTTCCAATTTCCTAACCTATTTATAGGAGCAATGACACATGTTTGCCCACGAGAAATGTACGCTTTCAAGACACTCAACTGTCTGGTAATGAAAATAAATTGAGAGGCTCATCTTTAAGTGTTGACGACCAGAAAATATTTCGATAAGTATCGGAGGAGGGGTAATAGGCAATTCCGGCTTTTAGATTACGCGTGCAGGGGATGATGGGAAGTAAGGTATCACACAGGTTATTATGCTGAGAAAATAAAAATGGTGGCCGTGTTATCACAGAATGATAGCTTATACTTGTAGATATTGAAATATTTCGGATGTTTCGGTAGGTTTTAATTTATTGAAATTTTTCAGCAAATCATCAATATGATACCTTACTTCCCATCATTCCCTGCAGGCATAAACTAAAAGCTGGAATTGCCTATTGACCAGAACATTCTATATTAATTCGTTCGCCCTCACGCTGGGGGGCCCTTAAGTACCATAACATGACGAGGAGGTCTCCCAAAACAAACATGCTCAATTAAAGCTTGAGGGAATAATCCGTCGTATGAATTTAATTGATAAAATTTGGGGAGATAAATTAACCACAAACAATAGACACTCCCTTAATTTTTATGAGTTTCGTTCTCAGGTTGAGCTACGTAATGTATCTTAGCACGCATATACTCATGCATTTTTCAAGCGTGGCTATTGAACAGATTTCATCAAAATTTACTCATCTTCCGCCCACACATTTTAGCAGCCGACACTTTTTATCGTAGGTCCTATATGAATTCTTTAATTTACCAGCTTATCAATCTAATTACATCACAGATGCTAAAAATATTTAACATATACAATTTTGAAGACTTTTCGATGCTCAATTTGTATAATAAAATGTAAATTAATATTTAAATTAAAAACTTTATTCAGGCATGTTTAGATAGTTTAATTTGCATGCACGCAAGAAGCGTTCGCGACTTATTTTAAAACCCACCAACGGAATCCGTACTATTAAAAGATACGAAACGCGATACTAGTACACATTAAAAATCGTGTCAAGAACAAATCATGAAGAAATTCTCACCGTAAAGGAGGAAGTATGGAATAGTTTCGAAAATGAATACATAGAAAAAAGATCTCCTCGAAAATTATCAACCAGAATAAAATTCAGGGCCAGAAATCATGGACATTGATATTTTATATATTTCTCCACTATTTTGCATGTAATCCGACGCATACCCATTGAATGGCCTGCCCCAGTGCAGGAAGTGTCGACAATAGCAAGCTTTAGTTGGTAGGGATCCAATCATACCTGAAAAATACAAAAAGAATGTGGACGTTTAGAGCGAAGGAGCCTTCGAAATAGCATTCATCAGATTTCATGAATATTCCTAGCCATTTTTTGTAAATAGCCACTATGTATAGCGAATATGGTTGTGGTGTGGGAGAATGAAAGCAGATATACAAAAAATAGATAATACATTCTAAATTCCACCTTCATTTCCGTTTCATTAATTCCAATGTCATTCCCTATATACAACATGGATGTATAGGTGTCCGAATGTATCAGTTAATATCGTCGCGCAAGTATTCCCAGATTGACAAGGAAGCACTGAAAATTGTGTGGGGTCAAGAAGTTTCACATATATTTGTATGGACGACGGTTTACACTAGTCACTCACCATAAATCTCTGCCATCCGTTTTCTATCAAGAAAAAGGAATACCCATAATGACAGCCACAAGACTACAACGCTATGCATTGTTTCTGGCTGGATTCGAATATGATATTGAGTACAAGAATACGAAAGAACAGTGTAATGCAGACGATCTATCACTACTACCACTGCCAATGACTGACAAGGAGGATACAGTTGTGGATGCTGCTGAAGTGTTTCATGCAAGCCAGATAAACATTCTCCCAGTCACCAGTGAATCAGTAGCTAAAGAAACACAGCGTGATCCCATATTAGCCAGAGTTTATGATTCGATAGTTAAAGGTTGGTCACCACGTTTCGAAGGAGACAAGCACTGTCTATCATGACCGACAGAGTGAACTTACAGTCCATCAAGGTTGTATCATTTGGGGAACGAGAGTGGTCATCGCTAGCAAGTTGCAAGAGAGAATTCTGCGAGAGCTACATGATAGTCATTTTAGTATCGTCAATATGAAGGCCCTATCACGAAGCTATGTGTGGTGGCCAAACATCAACCAACAGTTGGAGAACGTAGCGAAAACCTGTAGTGGATGTTTATAGGAGCAGGAGATGCCGTCCAAGGTATCCTTACACCCACGGGAATGGGCCACTTCATCATGGCAACCTGTACACATTGATTATGTCCTTTTAGGGATACTATGTTCCTTGTGGTGGCCGACGCACACAGCAAGAAGCCAGAAGTAATTCTTATGAAGCGAACAACCGCAGCTAAGACGTACCATTGAAGTACTAAGAAATTTGTTCGCACGATTCGCAATCCAGTAACAGATCGTCTCTGATAATATCGCAATACGGCAGTTGGAAATGGGAGCAGTGACGCTCCCCCCCCCCCTTCATTTTGCCCCTCTCAAAAAAAATATTAGTCACTGAGAGGGACTAAAGGCTACTCATCAGTGAATGCGCGTATACATGAAACTGATTTTAACAGATCCAATATTAGTTTGTAAATCTCTGAATGGAAAAAACCAAGGGAGCACCCCAGAAATATTTGTGTAAATTTATACTAACCTTTTAATTACATGTAAATGTTTTCAATTTTCATCGGGCGCCATATTGAATGTTGAAAGCGGTATATATTATTATCTTATCGCAGGCGCAATAATTTATGTTCATCTTTGACATTAATTTACAGTATGTTACACGATGATACTCCGAAGGGCGACCGAGAAAGATCCGAAATTTAAAATAAGGCGGAGAAATAATAAAAAATAAAAAGGGGAGTGAAACGGCCAACTATTATCGACTGATGCTGGTTGACTGTTGCTAGGAACATTTGATTTTGCTAGGAACAAACCGGGAACAAAATGAGACATACTATTACGGGAACCACTGAGTATTTTAATATAATATACTGTAGAACAACAAATATAATATAATGTACCGTAGAAAATAATTTTTTTTATTATGTTCGGATTTACCGTTGATTTCTATTAGATCTACTATAATTAGTTCAGGAGAGTCACATTAGAATATATTATTAAAATTGGGGACAATGGCGAGAGTCTGTATATCAGATAAACATCGGCTGCTCGTGTTTTAATACGCTTAAAAGACGACCCATCATATGAGTTCATTAGTAATTTTAAAAATAAACATTGTCTAAGCCGAGAAAATCGAAGCTGAAGTTTATGTAAATGAGGACAATTTACAAATCTATTATCCGATCGATTTACATACATTGATTAAACATTCATTTCTTTTGAATTTCCTTCATGAATTATTAATACTGTATTTTGTGTCCAGCATTCGCAGATGTTTTTGTTTCTCTGCTGTCGAAAATTCGCTGCTGGCGAGCAACGATGCAAATCAATACAAGTTTTGATATATTTCAGATTCGAAAGTTCTTGGTCAACGAGCATGGCCAGATAACGAAATTGGATATACGCATTGTCATTGGCCAATACCTCATCAGGTATTCGGCCGTTTCACTCCCCTCTTTATTTTTTTATTATTTCTCCGCCTTATTTTAAATATCGGATCTTTCTCGGTCCCCCTTCGGAGTATCATCGTGTAGCATAAATTAATGTCAAAGATGAACATAAATAATTGCGCCTGCGATAAGCTAACAATATATACCGCTTTCAACATTCAAAATGGCGCTCGATGAAAATTGAAAACATTTACATGTAATTAAAAGGTTAGTATAAATTTACACAAATATTTCTGGCGTGCTCCCTTGGTAAAACTTGCCAATACTCCGATAACATGTTTCAAAAGCTTTAGTTTGCAGAGTTAAATTCTCAAACTTGTAAGGAACTAATAAGATGAAAGCATCACGAAATTATTTGAATAAACCATGCACATCGCATATATATGGTGGGCGAATACCCTAAAGAGGGGGTGGGGGCGATATTCCTGGGGCATTCGCCCCTCTGGGGTGCGATATTCCAAGGATGTTCGCCCCAGGGGTGCCCTTTTGAGAGGGGCGAATCTCTTGATAGGGGGGGGGGATGTCCTGTGACAACGGCATTGGCAAATACCAGCCCTTGCGAAAATAACTATGTTTAATTGCTATTTTAAAACAATTTTATTACTACCACACCTATTTTTATGCTATTTTATTCAGAAGCAACCCTATTTTAATTCTATCATAATATTTCACCAAAAGAAAGAGCCATATTTTATTAATGTTTTATTTTATTTTATTCCTATTTTTATAGATAATAAAAACAAAATCGCATATTTTAATACTATTTTCCAGAGCTTCAGGGAAAAAATAGGTTTAAAATAGCCTATTTAAATTCTATTTTACTTCACTAAAAAGCAATTAGAAATTAAAATAGATATAAAATATACTATTTTTAAAAGGGAAGTCAAGTCCGTAATGTAAACAAACGGTTTGTTTACATTTTGAACTGCTGTATTTTTTAAAATATGATGTACTGTCTGAATATCTAAAACCATTTTGGTTCGTTATGCTTCTACATGAATATGAAATAGAGTTTGTGTTCAGAAAAATTCGAAACATTCAAAATTTGGGCAATGTTTACCTCAGAGGGCCCTCTATTGTTATGCGCAGAACCGATGCGTAGAACGGACTTGACTTCCCCTTTAAACTCATCAAATAAAATAGGCTGTTTAAATCCTATTTTACATTTCAAATTTCAAACAGGAATAAAATATACTATTTTAATCCTATCTTTCTTTCATAGTTAGCAAAATAACAATAAAATAGACTATTTTAAACATATTCTGCACGTGCGGAAAATTACATAAATTAAAATAGATATAAAATATAGTATTTTAAAGCTATCTATTTTTTAGAATACTTAAAACAGAATAAAACAGACTATTTTAAACCTATTTCACATTTTTAAAAATGCCACATTTTTCAAATAGGGATAAAAAATACTATTTTATACCTATTTACTTTCCCTAATTTGCAAAATAGAATAAAATACACTATTTTAATCCTATTTTACATTTATAGGAACTAGGAACTCAGGATTACAATTTGCAGATATGTATAAAATAGTCTATTTAAATTAAAACATACTGAATTTTCCTACTTAGCAAAATGAAATAAAATAGAACCGTATTTTACATTTACACAGATAAGGGACCAATCATTAATAATGGAATCGAAGGGGGGTGAGGGGCGGAAGGTGAGAAAAGGAGGAGGCTTCAACTATTGCGTACAGCGTCATCCCCACTGGTCATCCCATGCAGTGCTTCCACTTGCAAGGAAATTTCGTTGCAAAAAGAAATAAAATTTATTAGGAAACGGCAAGGAATTTTATTTTCAGCAAGCAAATAAGGATATTACGTTAGCAAATTCGGGTCGGGAAATGTCGAAAATCCAAGTCCTACTCCTGGGGAATAGAAAATCTGAAAAATATCTGAGGCATGACCTCAAGCCTCCTGTTGCAGTATTTTATAATTAATTACTCGCTGGGGCACCTGTGCCCGGGCGAGTATAGGTTTCGGCATGCATTTGTCACGGATCACGGATAGTGGATCTCCAATCGTCGATAGCCACAAAATAGAATATTAATGAGCCTAATTTTTCCCCCAATTATCCATACGGCTCCTGCCAATTTCTGCCAATTTGACCCAAATTATCCATAAATAACCCTGCATTTTGAGGAATATTCGGGAAAATTGAACAATTTCACAAGGAATTTCGACATGGAAACAGCAACCTTTGGAAATCGCAAGAGCAAAGCTGCACTGCTTTATATCTTGAGAAGAAAGCGATCTTTTGATTCTTTTCAACGATGCTTACGGTAAGTGAATGTGATTTAATTTCAAATACGTACGCTCACCTCGCATGACTCTGCACCTATTCGTGGTAGACCTACACTAAAAGATGCTGAGCGATTTCGAACCGGGTCGATTATCCACGAATCGAAAAATACCTTCGGGTACGTAAAAAGTTGCATAAACAATCGCCAAAAATACACAAAAAGTTGCCAAAAATATTATACAAAAAGTGAACAAAAATCGGACAAAAGTACTACTGAAATGACAAATAATACACAGACAAATTTACAAAAAACAAACGTAAACTCACAATCAAGTTGCTGTACTGTTAACGAGCACATGGTCAACATGGCCGCCAGTAGAAAAGCTACAAAGAACATGGTCAATGCGTTATCTTATATATATATATATATATATATATATATATATATATATATATATATATATATATATATATATATATATATATATATATATATATATATATAAGATATCGCATAATTTCTCAACACTTTTGAGCAAAGATGATATGGAAAACAAGAATGTGTCCACAGATCAATGTATGTCAGGTATAAAATCATCTATTAACAACTGTATTTCTAAATTGAATAACCAGGATATTGAAATAACAGGTCTGTCAAAGCACAATCCTATGCATATAAAGAAACTTCCAGTGCAATCACGATATGCATTATTTTATAATGTCTGCACTCAAAAGCATGTTACTGACTTTACTGCCACTGGTTGCCAATTACGTCACCGCGACCGTGAACCCAGTAGAATACAGGTGAAATGGTTAACTAGGAAGTTTGGAAAAAGTCGATTGTTGAGAAAACGTCTCAGACATAATATCAAAAGGTCTGTACCCAGATCCTCTCATCTTCATTACATAGTAGAGAATATTATGCATTGTCAAGACATTAGGATAAAGTGTATCCCTGATGTTTACTGTCCAAAGAAGGTTGACAAGAAATGCCGGACAAACCGATCAGCAAAAGATTTAAAATTTTATATTTGTGAAGGAATTCTTGCAGATATATTCTATTTGTCAGGTTCGACTCATGATTCATATGCACAACAGGTATACAAAAATGTCAACCATTTAAAGAATGTCTGTCAATCAGCATTATGTACAGATATTGAGACGAATCCTGGACCCGTATTCTATATTGATCCCAGCAAGACAATCAGTGCACCATATAGCCAAGGTAATCAGGTTATATTTGGAGAAACAGCAGGATAGCAGTGTTTAGCAATGTGTTTATGTGCCCTTATATGCAACAAAAAACAGAACATATGCTCACCACAAAACCTGGTTAATATAAGGAATATTGGTAGTGAACTATATTCAAACTTATCGTGTTTAGCACGGCAATCATTTTTATTGTTTACAGAATTGCCTTCACAACTTACAGTGTTTGACACAGATTATATTTTTGAGTACAGTGAGAGCTATAGTGGTAATGTAATAGGAGACTGTTCGATTGAAGGGTATCAGTACTGTGTTCCATTTGACAGATCATTTGAAAAGCTCCTGGCTGAACACTATTGTGCATTCATTTTAACAATTGAATCTAATGCTGTTTGCATATTCTCCACCAATGATGGCAAGTATAAAATTTTTGACTCTCATTCAAGAGATATTTATGGCAGAAGTCATCCACATGGTACATGTGTGTTGTTGGAAGCACCAAATATCAACAATGTGATTCTGTATTTCCAGTCTTTATACAGTGAAAACAGTCAATTTGAGCTAAGAGGAATAAAAATTGAAGAAGTACAAGCCAATAGTGACCAGAGCTTAAACAACAATTTTCGAAATTCTGCCCTATCAGGTAATGCTTCAGAAGAATCTGAAAGTACTGACGTTTCTTCTTTATGTGAACAATGCTGTGCAATTTCATTATACTCTATTTGTTATTCTGTTATTAAACCTTGTAATTACTGGGATTCAAATACAGTGGCCGCAGTTGTTTACTTTGGCACTACTTTGTATAATAACACTGGGATAAATACATCTCGTAATATACCACAAAAAGTTGAAATATGTGGAACTGAAATACATGTAAAATTGCAAGCTAATATTCAAGGAATAGTTTATGACCAGACAAAAAGCAAACTACACATTGAAAGCCTTATTTGTCATACTAATGAAAACACAGGGTTTTTAATTTGGTTTGGAGATTATTGTATTTCTTGCATCTTTCAAAAGACATCCATTACGAATATGTCATACTCAATATTAGCATATGATGATGATGATAGCTCACCAACATGTACTGCACATTACATTAAAAACATAAAAGGCAAGCATACTTTAGTTAATGCCATCTTTAACCTAGCAACCACCAAAATTAAGGATGAAATTGCCAATTATGAAATTCAATTTTTGTCTTGTTCTTCTGAATTGAGTAACTGTGAAAGAAAAAGGATTATGAAAAACCACAGGCAAAACTATATAAATGACTTCGTTGAACCAGCTCTAAAGACACAAAAGCTAGAAACAAAGCAGATGAAGTACAAAACAATGGCTCAGGAGAAAAAACAAAAAATATTGCAAAATAGAAAGAGAAAATATGAAAAGTTAGATAAATCAAAGAAAAAAGAATAGCTTACCAAAAATATGAATTATAGAAAAACAATTAATAAAGGACAAAAGCAAAAAATACTAGAGAATAAAAGAATGAAATATGAAGCAATGGATCAATCAAAGAAAGAGGAACTGCTTACTAAAAATATGAATTATAAAGAAACAATGAGTCAAGAACAAAAGCAAAAAACACTGGAGAATAAAAGAGCTAAATATGAAGCAACTGATCAATCAAAGAAAGAGCAACTGCTTAGTAAAAATATGAATTATAAAGAAACAATGAGTAAAGAACAAAAGCAAAAAACACTGGAGGATAAAAGAGCTAAATATCAAACAATGGATCAATCAAAGAAAAAGCAACTGCTTACTAAAAATATGAATTATAAAAAAACAATGGGAGAAGAACAAAAACAGAAACTATTAGAGAACACGAGAGCCAAATATCAAGGAATGGATATATCAAAGAAAGAGGATTTGAGTGCTACGCGTTCTAGCAAAATCATGTCAAATCGCATTTTGTTGGATCCAAAACAAAAAAATAATTTGCTGGATAGAGAGAAAGAAAAACGGATGGAAAAGAAATCTCTAACTCATGACATTGACATGTACATTGAAAAATTTAAAAAACAAATTAAATCAGGCCCATTTTACATATGCTGTGTGTGTAACCGAACACTATATAAAAAGTCAGTAGTAATCCTACAGAAAAATAAATATTCTCGCCAGGATTGTTTTATGCTTCAACGTTCTTTTGATGGCAAAAACTACATCTGCAGAACATGCCAAGCTAAATTAATTAAAGATCAACAGCCTTGTCAAGCTGTGGTAAACAATTTATTTGTTGATGAAACCCCCACTGAACTTGCTGCATTAGAGAAACTTGAACAAATTCTTGTTGCCCAGAGAATAGTCTTTGAAAAAATTGTAATAATGCCAAAAGGACAACAAAGAAAAATTAAAGGTGCAATATGTAATGTACCAGTTGAATGTAGTCAAACATGCAATGTTCTTCCCAGACCACCTGACAGATCTGGGATAATTTTACTTAAATTAAAAAGGAAACTTCAATTTAGAGGTCATGTTTACTTCCAAGCAGTTCGCCCTCAGTTTGTAATTAGTGCATTAAACTGGCTTGTAGCAAACAACCCTTTATATAGAAACATTGAAATTCATTGTGACAATATTAGCTCAGACTTAACTAATTTGAACTGTCCTGATACTGATCAAGAAAATATAGATGAGCCATTGCAATTGCAAAGTTAATGTAAATAGAGAACTGTGTAATGAAGATGTTGAAGAACAAGATGATCCATTAAATGAACACCGTTCAGCAGCAAGCGAAACCTGTCTTCAGTCCATCTTGCCAAATTATCCTGTTAACCTGGACAATACAAACTGTAATTCAACAGGTAGAGAAGTTTTCAACATTGCACCAGGTGAAGGTAAACACCCAGTATCATTGATGACTGATAAGCTTTGTGAGGAACTCTCATTTCCAGTACTCTTTCCAAAGGGACAATTTGGTTATACCAGTGAACGAGACATAAAATTATCTCCAATAAAATATTTCAATGCTCGCCTCTTGCATTATAGTGGAAAATTTGCAACCAATCCAGAGTATCTATTCTTTGCACAATTCATTATGGAACAGAAAAAGATTTCTGATAGTATTAATATAGCTCTTAAAAAAGTACATGGCCAGTCAGTCACAGCATCGCAAGTAAAGTCAAACAGTCAAGCTTTTCAAAATCTTCTTTTGCAAGATCAAGCATATTTGTTTTTACGACAAATTCCTGGCTCACCTCCTTACTGGCAAAAATTCATGTACGAAGTGGTAGCAATGATTAAACAGCTGGGAATACCAACATGGTTCATGACCTTATCGTGTGCAGATTTAAGATGGCCTGAGCTATTTCAGATAATTGCAAGAACAAAAGGCAATAACATAACAACTGAAGAAGTTGAGGCCCTGTCGTATCACGAGCGATGCTCAATGTTAAATTTAAATCCAGTTATTGTAGCTAAACATTTCCAGTATCGAGTCGAAACATTTTTCAGGGATGTTTTGCTCACAAATGCAAACTCAATTGGCAAGATAGTATATTATGCACTCCGTATCGAATTTCAAATGAGAGGTTCACCACATTTGCATGCCTTAATATGGACATCTGATTGCCAGGAATTAACGAACGATACAAAAGATGCATACATATATTACATTGACCGACATGTACAAGCATATCTCCCAGACAAAGAAACAGATCCTGAACTTTATGACTTGGTAAAAACATACCAGACACATAATGACAGTAAAACCTGTAGAAAGTATAAGAATGTTACATGTAGATTTAACTTTGGACAGTTTTTTACTGACAGAACAATTGTTGCTGAACCTTTGGCTGACGATATCGATGATGAGATTAAATCAAATATTCTAACCAGACGAAAGGAAATTTTGTCTAAAGTTAAACAAAAAATTGACATTGTGCTAAACCCAAGCAAACTACTTATGACCCGCATGCAACTCCAATTAACATTCTAAATGAAATAGATATAACAGAGCAAGACTATCAATGGGCTTTATCAATATCTCCAGATTCTGACCATGAATTGCACCTGAAACGACCAATAGACAGTTGTTTTACCAACAACTACTTTATTGCTGGGTTAAAAGGTTTGCTGCAAATGTTGACTTGCAACCAGTGTTTAATCATTATAAGTGTATTACATACGTTTGTTCTTCCTTTACAAAGGATGAAACTGAATGTTCTCAAGCCATCATAAATGCAGCGAAAGAGGCTAAAGAAGCCAACTTAAATGTAAGAGATGGCCTAAGAAAAATAGGTGCAGCTTTTCTCTCGACTCGTGAAGTCAGTGCTCAAGAATGCGTTTACAGATGTATGCCTGAACTCTGGTTAAGAAAAATATTCCCGAAAACCCTCTTTGTTAGCACGGATTTTGCAGAAAATCGCGTTAGATTTGCGAAGAAACAGCAAGAACTTGATGAGTTAGATGATGATAGTACTGACATTTTTAAGTCTAACATTATTGTCCGTTACAGTGACAGACCGAGAAACATTCCTGTCGTTAATGATATATGTTTAGCTTTATTTGCTGTTCATTATTTCAAAGATTACAAAAGTGATTTTAACGAAGTATCTGATTTTCAACCTGAAGTGTTAAGCGATGACTTCATTGAATCTCAAAATATCGAATATCGTAACACTGGACTTCCCGATCGAATAAAACTTGTTTTAAAAGAAATTATGAAGTGCAGAAAAATTAAAGCTGTCATTCGATATCACACTCCAAACAAAAGAAAAGAGCCTGAAAAATATTTTCACCACCTTCTCATGTTGTATTTTCCGTGGTGTAACGAGCACGAACTCGTTGGCGAAGACCAGACATACATATCTAAGTTTTATGAGCCAGATGTTCAAGAGGTAGTACAACGCAACAAAGAAATATTTGAGCCAGATGGTGATGCTATTAATGAAGCACTAGAAAGTTTACGAAACTTTGATGGCATACCAACTCACTCCTATGATCCAATAAATGACCAGGAAAATGAAGATTTGCAACAAAGTTTACCTGACGATTCTAATGAAACTGAGTCTTTTAACGAATCGTTGCCACAACATCTTGCATCAAATCCTGAATCAGTTCAACCATCTTCTGGAATAAGTTCTTATAATCAACCCTTAGAAATCAGTGACGACGATCTACGAAAAACTGTAAGATCATTAAACAAGAAGCAACGTTATGCATATGACGTAGTTCTTTCCTGGTGTAGAAATAAGATGGCCAACCTAAACACCCTTAAACCATCTAAAGTAGATCCAATAAATGTTTTTGTTACTGGAGGTGGAGGTGCAGGGAAATCACCCTTAATTAAAGCTATATATCATACTGTTACAAAAACATTTAGACATGCTCCAATGAATCCTGAATTACCTTCTGTATTGCTAATGGCTCCAACTGGTGTAGCTGCCATAAATATCAACGGACCAACCGTAAATACTGCTCTTTGACTAGCAATTCCAAGAGATTGTGGGAATAATGTACCTGCAATGTCTGACCAGAGAAGAACACAAATGAGATTGTCTTTGGCTGAATTAAAACTAATCATAATTGATGAAATATCAATGGTCTCGAACATGGGTCTCCTGCATATTCACCAGAGATTGAAAGAAATATTTGTTACACCTAATAGTGAACTTTTTGCAGGAATCAGTGTACTTGTTTTCGGAGATTTCTTTCAGCTACCACCAATTCGAAGCGCAACAACATTTTCAAATTATAAGAATGATACATTCAATCTACACCATCCCTGGCATGTCTTTAAAATGGCAGAATTAACACAGATCATGAGACAAAAAGATGACCTCGCCTTCACTCAACTACTAGAAAATACATGCATGCAGAAACCCTCGCCTTGCTGACAAAACCGTTGTATTTTCCGAACATGAAGTATCTAAAGTAGTTGTCATGGTAACACGATAACTTTTTAAGAATATTCTTACAAATGAAAATCGCCTAAAAATATCACTTTTAATTACAAAATTATCAATTTCCCAACATATTTATGTTAGGTACGTAATTATACGTAATACAAGCTTCAATTTAAGGTAAAATTCAACCACAAACAATTCACAAAACGTTTTAAAGTGTTCTTTATGAAACTAAACTGCCTTTAACTATTAAATGGCTTTATCGATAAACTTTGAGTTTGCAATAAAATTATTTCAAATTCTCGCTTGCAAATAACTTTGCTTTATTTTTTATTTAAAAAATTCAATATAATAAAAAAGGGAATCAATATTAAAGATACACTGAAATTATATGCTGTCTTGTTTAGTTGTTTCATATACGCAAAGGCCGTCGGGTTTTAAAGCCATTATAAAATCAATATTTAAAACAAACTTACCTTCGTTAACGTCGGCTCCCTTCTTTTAGCTGATTCTTTCGCCCTTTCTTTCTTGAAATTTACAAAATCTTGCAGAAATACGAGCAAAAATGAAGAATATTTGCAAGAAATTTATCAATCATCAATCATCAAATCAAGAAATGTTTGCTATTTCGCTGTCGTCATGCAGCCGTTATAATGCAAACTTTAAATTGGACCAATCAGTGTCCGTTATTCATGAAAGTCCGCCATATTTTTGAGATCAGTGAGGATGACCACCCATCGTTGGTGACCGACGCCCGCGCTCATTGATGAACTTTAGACTTCGCTAATGCTTTCGTTTCCCCGGGTGTAAATAGCCGGGGGGAATTAGTACCCTCGCACGGCGCTTCGCGCCGCCGGCTCGGGGATTAAATAGAGTGCGCACCGCTTCACATACAGACGATGACATCAGGTGTATTCAATCCAGAACAATAACTGCAGGTGATGAAAATTATCCATCGGATGCATTACACATCTTTACAAAAAATGCACCAGTAGATGAGTACAATATTGACCGCCTACAACAAATTCAATTACCACAGTACGTTTTAGAAGCTTTAGATCAATTCCCACCTCATGTTAGAAAACAGGATATCGATAAAGTGTTGTCTAAAGGAAGATCCGAAACTGGAGGGCTTCACACTAAAATCCTGATCAAAGAAAATGCGAGAGTTATGCTCACAACCAATGTGGATATTAGCGATCGACTAATTAATGGCCAGTTAGGTACAGTAATAAAAGTTTCTGTTGACAATGTTAGTAATAAACCCTCCACAATTTTTGTTAAATTTGATGACAGTAATGCTGGAGTATCTGCTGTACGAAATTCGTCCAGTAGTTTTGCAAGAGAAAACAATCTTGTTCCTATCAAACCTGTATTGGCGAGAATTAAAGTCAGACCAGGAAAACCATCATCTCCTGAAATGCAAAGATTACAATTTCCTGTAACTCTCGCATGGGCATGCACTGTTCATAAAGTACAAGGATTAACTGTAGATAACATTGTGGTCAGTTTTGATTTAAAAAAGCAATGGTATTTTAACTATGGTCAGGTATATGTAGCACTTAGTCGAGCAACGTCTTTAAATGACCTGCATATTTTAGGAACACTTGAAAGTAAACATATTCGAGCTAATCCTAAAGTCCAGAAAGAAAGGCCTGCTCTGGGACCTTAACTCGCCGCGAGATAAGGCGAGCCTATGCGAGTTAAGGCGAGATAGGGCGACTTAAGGAAAGATCTAGCCTGCATGGCAGGCGGTACTTGGGAAATACCGCCTGCCGCAAAACTGGGTGTAAATGAACTACCGCCCCTGAAGCATCAAAGCTATTTATAGATGCATTAAGTAAATATTCCAAATTAGCCACTCCCAAGTTGCTACCAAGTCTCAACATAAAATATTAAATTCTGGCCTTGATTATCATCACCGCCCGACTGAATTTTAAAATCCTCGTGAAAATGTTTTATATTTCGTTATACAATATAAATGTACCGCCCGACAAAATAATTCAAGACAGTTAATTTTTTTATATTTTATATAGAGTTTTTATTGCCATTTTAAACTTCAAATTTGAAACAAACAGAATTTTGAATGAAATTTCATTGTATTTTAAAGAAACTCAGTCATTCTGTCATTGTTCGTGGAGATACGAACTATTGATATACTGTATAAATTATATAAATATAAAATATAAAAAATAAATCTCCCACTGTCTTCGACATTTCAAAGTGTAGACTGTGTCTAGTGATGAGAATTAAGGAATTTATTTTATGTGCAGCCTATAAGTAATATAAACCAAGCCGCCCGTTTAACTGCCTTAAAATGGTGGTTTAATAAGCTCAAAATACAAAGCATGCAAGTCTATACTATAGATTCATCATCAGTCAACAACCAAACTGAAAGTTTTGAACCTTATAGAACGATAGTTTTTATTTGTTTGCAACTATATACATGCATATTCAACGGGTATATAAGAGTTTTAACTGTTATTTAATAATTACTGCATCAACCGTCCCATACCCCTAGTTTATACTTTGGAGGTTCGTATATCTATCAAGTATCTTTGCTTCAGAACATGATAGGCCTATATGAAAATCCCACCGTTCGATTCAGTGAAGAAATATCTCCTAATTTCTATCGATAGTTTTAGTAAAATGTCAACATTATTGCGATTTATGGCCTTTGAAAGTCAAGCGAGATCGTATATTATCAAATTAATATACGCATGTATTTGTCTGAAAGAAAATATAGACTAGCCCATACCTTTCGTCGATCATAACTTCGGCCCCTTCGGACGTATCTTCTTTGTTAAATATTCTTGTTCGAATCGCTATCAAAAACACTATTCAGAGTGTTATTTTTCAGCTCGTATCTTTAAATTTGCTTCTTTTATTATGGTATTCCATTTCTGCATGGTCTGACTTGTGATTGTGAACTAATTTCAAAACGCAGAGTTTCAAAACGTCAAAACATTTGGTTAATGATTAACATTTAACCGAATTTAGCCGTTGATTGACAACTACATAAAAATACTAACCAATCCGTTTTTCCGTTCACCAGCGGACGGGTAATTCAAAAATCCCTAGTTTTGCGGCAGACGGTATTTCCTTTGCCTCCCTAATTTTCGCTGCCTGTAGAAATACCGCCTGCCACGCAGGCTAGAAAAGATCTGGCTACTGACCCTTGCGAGTTAAGGCGAGATAAGGCGAGTTAAGGAAAAATCTGGATATTGTATACACACTATGTATTTTGCTTTGTTTGTGCATTATGCAAAGCAAGTATGCAGTACTTGAAGTAGCAGGCCTAGAAAAGTGTTTTATTCTATATTCTACAATACATACATGATATGCAAAAAACTCGGGACCTGGAAACAAGTTGCATCAAAACGAGGCTGGTAGCCAGATGCCAAATTGTATAATTTGAGGCATTATGCATAGTGTATATAGAACTGCATTGTTTCCTAAATCTTCACAGTATCAGTTGCTAACTTGCTATGACTAGCTTCATCACATATTTTGTAATTTTTAGCTGTTTTCATGAATCATGACATCAATTAGGTTCGAATTTGTTTGCAAGCAGCAGTTCTTGTATTCAATTTTTAATTTAATTTAATATAAACATTGATATGAAACAAAGAGAAACTAAAAAGCTTGCTAGGAAATTATAGATTATTTACTATTAAATTTAGCACTTTAATAACTATTTTAATTAACGATATTTCGAACCACAATGATATATTAAATGATAACCAACGGTCATAATACTAAAATTAATGCCCAACTTACTTGCTTTGGAAACGTAAATGAATGTAAATGACAATGATTCCTCTGTATAAAACTGTATTATTGTTTAATAATATATATTCCTATTTCCTATCAAGCTTTTATATTCAGAATTCACTGCCTCTCATTAACACTAACACTAAGTATTGCAAGCAGATTGTAATTTTTCCGCTGAAGGGAGCAATCAACCTCGTTCCCAGGGCTTCAATATTTTCAATATCTGTTCCCAGACAGCATCCCGCCCCCCTGGTAAACGGAATCTTCCTTCCCATCATCGCGGTAATTCCTCTGTGGTCGGGGGGGAGGTCTACGCAGTCTATAAGTCAGAATCATTCGATTCCGCAAAGGCAATATGGCGGGATATGCATCATTTTAATCAACCTAGTCCCAGTCGTTCTGAAGCAAGCGCGAGAAAAAAGTGGATGTAGTACGAGACTGGGACCTAGGTGTGACGTCACCGCTCAAGGTGCTTCAGAACGCCTAGCAGATTTCAGTATTTTTAATATGGCGGAAAATTTATATATACAAGTAACCTTTTAATTATAAATACGATAATGTTCGTTCATCATGTACATGTTCGATGTCTACATAACCAAATCAAACTGTATTAAAAATGTGCTCAACTAAAAAAATTATATACAAATTTACGATACCGAGTTTGAGCAATCGTTGATGTTATTTATGTACTCGCAAGTTGTGATCAACACTAGACCATACTGGTATACACAACTACGCTTTCTACTTGACAGGTTTAAATTGCTGATGAGATTGGAAATATTTGCCTGACATGACGGTGTTGTCAAAACATTCATAGTCGGAGACTCGGCATAATTTTCAAGCTTCTAGATAGCATTTAATATGGCTATATATTTTAGTAAACACGAGCCATATTTAGCCCGTTATTCCATTCTGATCGTATGGCCGCGAAACGTAGCCTACTTCATTGTTCCGAGAGCATTAGAGCAAAACTAATCTACTAATCTGTCTACTTTCAAATCTCTGTACAGATAAAGCAACCGGTCGCGATGAGATATCTGCCAGATTGTTGAAAGAGTGTTCGAACGAGATTGCTCCATCCTTAACAGCGCTGTTCAACAAATCACTCACTCTTGGTAAAGTTCCCCAGGAATGGAAGGAAGCTAATGGTGTCCCTGTTCCCAAGAAAGGTGATGTTCACGAGGTCAGTAACTATCGGCCGATTTCCCTGCTGTCACTAGTGTCGAAACTTCTCGAGCAAGTTGTGCATTTGCACGTGTCGGAATTTGTTGAATCATCACTGAGTAATCTGCAACATGGTTTCCGCAAAAGACGTTCGTGTGTCACCCAACTTCTTCGCGTTTTCCACGACGTTGGTAAAGCCCTAGACTCGGGAAAGGAAGCTGACATGGTTTATTTAGACTTCTCCAAAGCCTTTGATTCTGTTTCTCATCGAAACCTTCTTTTGAAACTTGAACAACATGGTATCTCCGGTTCATTGTTGAACTGGTTCTCCGACTATTTGAGCGAAAGACGTCAGCGAGTAGTGGTCGACGGTGTGTCATCCTCGTTTCTTAATGTAACATCAGGGGTACCACAAGGCAGCGTACTCGGCCCACTTTTGTTCTTGATTTATGCAAACGACCTCCCAAAGGCAGCGAATCATGGCACAGTGCCCATGTTTGCTGATGACAGCAAATGCTATCGTCAAATAACCCAACCTCGAGATAGAGATCTTCTTCAGGATGACCTAAATTCCCTACACCAATGGTCTAAGACGTGGGACTTAAATTTCAATGCGAAGAAGTGTGTTGCGCTCATATTTTCACGAAAGAAAACCTCCGTTCCACCTCAAGACTACTTCCTAAACCAGCAACTTATAAAGTCTTCCTCCACACAGAGTGATTTGGGTATCCTGGTGAGCGACAATTTAAAATGGTCCCAACACATCATCAATATCGTTTCTAAAGCCAACAGAATGCTTGGGTTTCTGCGCCGCAATTGTTTCCACCTCACTGACGTGGATGCTCGCCGCCTTCTGTATTTGTCTCTGGTCCACTCTCACTTATCGTTCGGCTGCGAAGTCTGGGCTCCTCAAGGTGCGTCTGCTGATCTGCTTCATCTCGAAGGAATTCAACGCCGGGCAACAAAGTTTATTCTTCAGGACTATGATTTGTCATACGTTGGTCGCTTGAAAAAACTAAATCTAATCCCCCTTTCCTACTGGCATGAAATTAAAGACATTATATTCCTCTACAAATGTAAATACGGGATGTACGAAATTGACATGAATCAGTATATAACCCAACCTCTTCACCACTCCACTCGTTCCAGTTCTGGTGATCTTCGTCCAAACCTGTGCAAAACCTCCCTCTTCCGAAACTCATACTTTAACAGAATTGTATTTTTATGGAACAATTTACCGTCTGATATCAAATCATCTTCGTCAGTCACCATACTTAAATCTAAACTATATATATATTACACTAGAAAGCTGAATAGTACTTTTGATGTAGACCGTCCTAGAACATGGAAAACTGTATGCAGTAAATGTCATTCTTTACATACAATCTGTTGTTCATAGATGTAATTATAATTGTTGTATGTCCTAATGTTTATGTATATAATATGTATTCTTGTAATACCTATAAGTAATTATGTAATGTACGTTTTTGGTGGGACTTAATTAGGGACTCACGTCCTGTTGTCGTTACCTTCGGTCATTTGATTGTAAAGTTAATAAAAAAAAATAAAAAAATAAAAATATATCACAAATATTATTGGCTTGCTACCGCCACCTTTGCCACCATCGCCTCACTACCTCAACTGCTACTGCTGCATATATATTGTACTTGTACTATCCTGCAAATTTTATTTTTGTAGAGCAATATTATTAATATTAAAACAACCATTATATATCAGAAATATTATTGGCTTGCTACCACCGCCACCATCGCCACCACCACCTCACTACCTTAACTGCTACTGCTGCATATATATTGTACTTGTACTACCCTGCAAATTTTATTTTTGTAGAGCAATATTATTAATATTAAAACAACCATTATATATCACAAATATTATTGGCTTGCTACCACCGCCACCATCGCCACCACTGCCACCATCGCCTCACTATCTCAACTGCTACTGCTGCATATATATTGTACTTGTACTACCTGCAAATTTTATTTTTGTAGAGCAATATTATTAATAATTTTGAAACAAATGATAGCGATATTACATTTATTAAACGACGTTTCGATGCTACAGCGTGCATCATTTTCAAGTTATAGTATTACATATATTGCGTTGATTTTAATTAAACCGTTCGTGTCACGTTAGCAAATTATTGCGTAAGCATGCAAAATTTAAATTTATATGACGTAATAAATTACATAAATTACATTTAAAAGAAAACATAAAACAGATTAAACATATTTCTGTCTTTCATAAATATATAACATGCACACAAAAAACAACAACAAACAAACATACTAAACAAAACAAAACAAACATAAAGCCCATTAATTATAGGACTAAGTATAAAGTTTTGAACGAATTGAGTCCGATTGAGTGTTCAAGGACGGCGATAGTTCCTTAATATACAGCATTTCGTATAGAAGACACTCATACTTTCCTTGGCATTTTCGTAGAATTGAAAAGCAACCTTCAATTCTCGACGCATCCTCTTCGTGATCTTCCCTCATATGTTTCCAGATTACCGATCGCTTGTGCTCATCAATGCGCTGATGTAAGTGCCGACTAGTATAGCCAACATAATCTGTATCGCACAGATCACATTTATATCTATACACAATGCCAAGGAAAGTATGAGTGTCTTCTATACGAAATGCTGTATATTAAGGAACTATCGCCGTCCTTGAACACTCAATCGGACTCGATTCGTTCAAAACTTTATACTTAGTCCTATAATTAATGGCTTTATGTTTGTTTTGTTTAGTATGTTTGTTTGTTGTTGTTTTTTGTGTAATGTTATATATTTATGAAAGACAGAAATATGTTTAATCTGTTTTATGTTTTCTTTTAAATGTAATTTATGTAATTTATTACGTCATATAAATTTAAATTTTGCATGCTTACGCAATAATTTGCTAACGTGACACGAACGGTTTAATTTAAATCAACGCAATATATGTAATACCACAGAGTAGAGACATACAGAGACGTAACTAGTGTACCCACTTTTTTTGTGCGCATGCTCGGCAAGTTACTAGATGCATGCATCTGATTGGATGACGACCTGATGACGACTCATTTTAAACTTGCTGAGCACGCGCAGTTGATCATTTTTTGCCCGGTCGCTTGAAAAAAAGTGGGTACATGATAACGTCACAGAATAGGAAGTTATACCAGAAGCGTAACTCGAGCAAATATTTGTCCGCGATTTTACAAGCGATTCGTCATCAATCACGCCATCCTGGCTAGTACAACCGGCACTTTGTACCTACCAAATCCTGATAAAAACTTCCGGCTGTACTAGCCAGGATGGCGTGGCTTGACGTGAGCGAGTTAAAATTTTCGTGTACGTCAAACAATAAGGGAAACGACTAGAGTTACGCTTCTGGTATAACTTCCTATTCTGTGACTTAACCGTATTAATATGTTGCCTGATGATTGCTTGTTGCATGAAACTTAAAGTAGCAACTTATTCAATTGAAAAATTGTATTAAAATATTAAATTATTATTATATGCTCTACAATTGTCTTGTATTGAGAACTCTTTATTCTTAAAAACGGGAAATTACTTTATGAAATTATATATATATATATATATATATATATATATATATATATATATATATATATATATATATATATATATATATATATATATATATATATATATAGGTTTCTATACGCCATATTGCAGGGCGTGCAAAAACATTGGGGCGAGCGCGCGGCCACCAATGGCGCCCATACTATTTCCTATTGAGTGAGTGAAAATTACCTTTTGACATTTTGTCCTTTTTCTCAAAAAACTTCTATACAAGCATATCCAATTTTTATTTTTAGATAATCGCTGGGTTTTTTCTGATATGTGGCCGAGATTTCTTGCTAATCGAAGGACAGGAAGTAATAAAAAACGGCGGCTTTGTTGTACCACTTGACCGACGATTTTTGTACAAATATACAAATATAAACAGTAATAATGGCGGACACCAAAGTACTTACACACTTAATTGACAAATATTCTTCCAAAGGTGTGCAACAAAAGCCGCCGTTTTTTATCACTTCCTGTCCTTCGATTAGCAAGAAATCTCGGCTACATATCAGAAAAAGCCCAGCGATTATCTAAAAATAAAAATTGGATATGCTTGTACAACAAATATATTGCCTGCTATGTTTTGACTGTTTAAAATATTACACAACACAATGATTGTTTTACTGTATAAATATATAATAAAATAATAAATATGTGGTATTTGACTACTTACCAGATGAGGATAAGTTTCCATGTTGATAGATAACTTCGGAATAATATACGTGCAAGTAGAATGGCACGTATAAAAATTGTAAAACTTTCAGATTGAACTATAGTATAGTAACACTCTTAGTACTCTTTTAATTTTAATATAGTGTTCTCGTGCTACATAAGTCTTTATAAATAAATAAACAGATCCCTACGAATAAAATTCGTTACTAACCAAGTATAACAACACTATAATATATAGTACACACGTTCAATTTCTTGTTAGCCGCCATCTTGGATTATTTTTGTACAACATTGTATATCTAAGCCATTATCTAAGCCCAATGATCTAAGCTCGTCGCTAATTGGTGAACAATTACATCATCGTAAATTTGTAAGCTCGTTGCTGATCGGTGCCACCCATTTACTCGCACGATGGCATAGCTCTGCTCCGCAGATACAACAAACGCTCAAAAACTTCAACGTTGTGAAGTTATCTTAATGGGAAACATCCATTAGTTTTCAAATGACGTCAAGGAGGAAGCGTGCGAAATAAAAATGACATCATTTGAAAAGGACTGCGAAAGCCTAGCGAAAATCTTTCGAATCGTGGTAGCGGTAGTCCGCTGGCTATTTTGGCATTTTGCCAATTATAACATCAAATATATGAAATTGGTTTTTCCGGACATTATATTTGCATTTCCTTCCTCTCGAATAACGCTTTTTGGACTTTGCCGTAATTTTTTACTTACAGTTTCCCAAAAGAAATTATATTCTAATTTCGTATAAAAAGTGACCAACTATTTTGACAAAATATTTTCCATTTTGAACAACTTTTTGAACTTAAAAATTATTGGGGGGGGGGGGGGGTAACAAAGTCCCTGGATACGACTGGTCGTATACACTATTCTAATAGTAATCAGCTGTGGTCGTATATGATTCTTATCCTGATGTATGTACTCGAATAAATGCATGTAAAGATATCAGATTTCTAATTTCGCTGGATTGTCTATGGCGAGAATAACAATCGTATACCACTGATTGTATCGTTGTGTAAATGGGCCTTTACGTATACTCGTTGTAATCGGCAAAGGAATTCAATGATTGGTTTTTCCTATCCGAATAGGAAAGTAGACAGTTACAACTTTCCGTTTGCTAGTCATATTGTTCAGGGTTAAAAATATTTCACTAAAAAGCGTAAAACATTATTTCTTTCCAGACTCCAGTTATATACGGTTAGTTTTGATAGGTTGCAGGCCATATCACAAATGTCGAGAACGACGATAGGTTTTTGAAACAGCGTTTCCCGAAACTCCAATCCTCTCGATTGTCCATAGTCAAACAAATTACATTGCGATTCAGTCCGATTATGGCATTTCAAAAACCTGCACATCTAATGACATTACCACAGAATAGAGACAAACAGAAGGACGAGTTTTTGTTGCATGCCATATATGGCATGCAACTTTCATATAGCTCTAAATTTCGTGTCGTCGTGAGCGGTGAACGGTGGTGAGCGTACCGGTCACGTGTATTACCGAGTTTTCCCGACGAGCATTTTCAGTCATGGGCTTTCGTCCAGGAAAGGCAAAGAAAAATATTTGATTGTTCGCGGAAAATTTACATAATTGAGCGCCTTATATCAAGGTAGGTAAAGCTTTGCTGGTTTTAATTTACCTTATATTCTGTTATTTGTTGTGATTTTGGAGCAGTTGTGCTCGCAATGAATGATTGTTTATCAGGCGTTTAATATCAATATATCGTGAAGGCTACGCTCTCAAAATACTCAATTTTTTATATATGCTCAAATTGAAACGGAGTCATTGTACTCACACTGATTATATTACGTGCACAGGGTGGGTCATACAGAAGCCCAATTTCTTGGTTTTTCCTATGATTTTCCAGTGATTTTGGCGTGACCGTAATTCATAATGAAAATGCTGACGCAATGGTCCTGGCTGGTGCGCTTTTGGGAGGCATTCACCCCCTTGATAATATTCAAAATGACAGACGTCCAGGGGGCATGACTCTTCAGCGTGCACTGGCTAGGACATGGCAGCGGTTACTCTAATCGACCTTCTGTGCGTCTTTGTTCAGTGCCAGGGGGATGACTGCTTCTGTTTACGGTACTTGCCAAGTGACAAATCATGACGAATAGCACTTACGCAGAAAAACAATGGAGATGGATTTCTGTATAGTATTCTGAGTCATGAGGTTTCATGGTTTTGATGGCATGCAACATGTACGCACTGCGTACATATTTTTGAGTTTTCCTATGATTTTGGCGTAACCATAATTCGTCATCAAAATGCTGACGCCATGGTCTTAGCCAGTGCGCTTATGAGAGGCATTCACCCTCACGATAATATTCAAAATGGCGGACGTGCACGGGGTGAATGCCTCTCACACAAAATAGGAAAGTACAGCAGAAGTGTTACTTGAGTCGGTGTTTACGTCCACGAAAATTTTAACTCGTTCACGCCATCCTGGCTAGTACAGCCGGAAGTTTTTATCAGGTTTTGGTAGGTACAAAGTGTCGGTTGTACTAGCCAGGATGGCGTGATTGATGACGAATCGCTTGTAAAAACGCGGACAAATACTTGCTTGAGTGAGACTTCTGGAGTACCTTCCTATTCTGTGCCTCTCATAAGCGGCTGGCTAGGACTAAAGGCCCATATACGAATATTATACGAATATTTTACCACCAATAATTTATTGTCTGAACAGCAGTTTGGGTTCAGGCGCTTTCATTCCACGTCCACTGCTTTGCTTGATTGTACTGATGAGTGGTATGTTAATATGGATCGTGGTTTGTATAATCTTGCCGTTTTTCTCGATTTAAAAAAAGCATTTGACACGGTAAACCACGACATTTTACTGGCTAAACTAGAGTTATATGGTATTAAGAACACGCCTCTTATGCTTCTCAAATCGTTCTTATCAGATCGATCTCAGAAATGTCAAGTAAATGGGGAACTTTCCACACTAAAATATTTAAAATATGGCGTTCCTCAGGGTTCAATTTTGGGTCCACTTCTGTTTTTAATTTATATCAATGATTTGCCGAATTGTTTACAACACTCTACAGCACGCATGTTCGCCGACGATACTAACATTACAGTGTCCGGTAAATCAATTAAGGAAGCTGAGGTGGCCGTTAATGTCGATCTCAATAATATTAGAGAATGGCTTCTATCGAACAGGCTCTCTCTTAACCTTGTCAAAACGGAATATCTTTTGATTGGATCACGCCACAATATTAACACGTTAGAAGAACAACCGCGTGTTTTTATTGGAGATGAACCAATTAAAGGGGTTCAAGTTACAAAAACTCTTGGAGTCAAAATTGGTCAATTTTTAACTTGGGACAGTCATATTGACCAAATTTCTAAAAAAATATCTTCTGGAATAAGTGCCATGAAAAAGATAAAGGATTTCACTAATTCTGATACTTTGAAGTCGGTCTATTATGGTCTTGTCCAACCCCATTTCGACTACTGTTGTGAAGTTTGGAATTCCATTAATAGAGGCCAGTCTGAACGACTACAAAAACTTCACAACAGATGTGCTAGAATGATAATGAACTTTAAAGATGAGCCTGGGCAATCTCAACTGGCCCTCGATCAATTAGGGTGGATAAGCTTGGAAGAAAGGCGAAAACATAATATGGCCCGTCTCATGTTTAAGGTTGTCAATAATTTGGCACCATCGAGGTTCTCATCAATGTTCCAGAATTCTAACCATATCCACAGCTATAATTTACGAGGTTCAAATTCGTCTCTCTTTCTGCCACGACCAAATACCGAGTATGGCAGAAAATGTTTTCGATATAATGGGGTTAAAATCTGAAATAGCATTCCTGAACAAGTAAGAAACAGCGAATCTTTAAATTCTTTCAATAGAAATATTTCCTCTGTTAGTCTGACGAATTAGCTATTTGAGTTTTGTATACCATTTGTTTTGTAATATGTATTTGTATTCGTAGTTCTTAATATTCTTAGTGATTTTGTATTTTATATATTTTTGTAACATTTATCTACGCCCCACTTGGAAAGCAGCTATGGTTAAAGTGGCCAGCGTAGTCAAATAAAGTTTTATCCTATCCTATCCTATCCATACAGACCGGACGCGATTCGGCAACGCGACGCGAATTTTCAATTTTCAATGACCTTTTACTTTACTATTTTTCTATGTTTTTCAAATATTCGGAACCACTTAAGCAATTTTAGTTATTTGGTCTGCATATCTTGTAAGATTTTTATCCGTTGACGGTTTTATTTGTTTTTAAAAACTGAAAATTCGCGTCGCGTTGGCGAATCGCGTTCGGTCTGTGTGGACCTTAAGGCGTCAGCATGTTGATGACCAATCATTGCGAATCATGGCGTGGCAGCGGTTACTGACCTTGTGTGAAGCAAGTTCTACAGCAAACGTCTTCGTTAGATTATCTAACGCAGCTTTTGAACAACCTAAAAGAGTAGAAAACATACAATCTGTGGGTGATCGCAATAAGTCAAGCATCATGGAGAGCGCTGTTAGTCAAGCTCTTAAAAAGATTGAAATCTTTGTTGAGGGCTTTCTTTCGTCCCCAAATAGTGATTCGTATAGACTGGTGGAGTATTTAGTCGCTGACGAGGGAAGATTAAAGTGGTTGGGCTCTCTGGAGGACTTAAAATTGTTTATAGAGTCTTCGCTTCGCATCGACGGTAGATGGTCATCACCGGGTGGCAACGCCAAAAAAATATACGCTCAAATCAGTCGAACCTGATCAGCAGTTTGGCTTCGTTTGGTATTGCAGAAAGCAGAATACGATAGTGTTTCAGGGCGATCCTGAGAGCGTTGAATCAGCGAAATCAAAACTTATATCGATTGCAAACAAACATGTAAACAAAGAGACTACATCGATCGCGGTGAGTGAACAGTTATTTGATGAGGTGGACCTGTATGTGCGTGGATTAGAGCCGTGTTGTGAAGAATTTCTAAGAGTTGATTGTGATGGTCCTGATCGGCGGGAGCAAGACCTGAACGTAACTTTAGTGGTTAATGAAGAGGGCCAGACTGAATATACTTCGAGTTTAATAAATGGATCATCGACTGTAGTCAAGGTGAAATTATTGCAGAAATAGAGGGTATTAAACTAGATTTGGCGATCTTTAAGTCGCAGTCTTGTTTTGGTACAGATGATCAATATGTTTCTTTGCAATCTAACATTAAGTCATTGCAATCTACACAGAAATCTCTTAAAAATATTATTAAAACTCAAGACGAGACAATAAATTCACTTCAACAAGAAATATTTGTATTTAAGTCCAAGCTTTTGTCCTTGGAAACGCTATTGTTTAATGATAATCCTCAATTGAACGCTTCACTTGATCTTGATAGCCATATACAATACACTGCGAAAGTAAATCCCCAAGGGTCCAATAATAATGATGATGGAAAGAGTAATTGCGAAATACTATTACCCACGCACTCGAATAATAAGAATAATAATCAGTCTACCAACGAATTCAACCATCTGAAAATTGCAAGACGTAGTTCGCCAAAAAGTTATCTTAATATCAATGCTAATTCCCTGCCCCACTTGTGAGTGATGTTGTCCCTGTCCCACCTGCGAGTAATGCCGACTTAATGCCCAAAAGTTCTCTTGATGTAGAAGTTAATGTCCCTGTCCCAACTGTGAGCGATGCAAACTCACCGCCAACCAGAGTGATGCAAGTTCCCAAAAATAAGACGCCTTGTCCGTTTATTTTGTGGCGTGGTTGGTGCTTAAAAGGTGGACAGTGCGACTTTTCTCATCGAAATATGGTTAATAATGATCAAGCTCGCCAGCATTCCAACGATAAAAAAGGCTCCATATTTTGTCCCTTTCAACGTAAGAAGGGCTATTGTTTGAAAGAATCCAGATGTGATTTTTCCCATGCCGAACCTTAATTATTCGTGTCCAACTGGAAATCATCCGGTAACAAATGATAACTTACAACGCCCCCAATTACAACCTTTTTTTAGGAAGTCACGACCTACAAAATATTCCGACTTTGATGCGCCAACTCGAAACAAGATTACAGAGACTCGAGTATGCTCAAATACCTCACCCCCATTATCATCGGTATTCAGTGTCTCAACCGCTGTTCCCTCCACCAAAATCAATGTATCCACGACCACTAATGGAGCCCCCAGTTCATGCCCCTCAGTATTTACGTCGCCCACGCGACATAACGAACAAGCAGTATCCCCCAAATTACCCTCCGAGGCCATGGTTACCCCAACCCTGGCCTACACACCCACCATTTCCACGTCGTATGTAGCTCGTGATAACAATTTCCCGCTCCCTACCCTACCCTACTGGCGGCCAACGTCCGTTCTATAATTAATAAAATAGACGAACTAGAGTTGGTAGGTCAAACTAACCAAGTTGAGGTCATGTTGATTTCATTTGTAAGAAAGCTGCGAAGCGTCTGCATGCTCTACGATTATTAAAGAGATCTTCCATTCCATCAAGCAAGTTAGTGCAAGTGTTTAATACATGCATTAGACCAATTTTAGAATACTCGTGCGAAGTATGGCATCACAGTTTGCCCCAGTATTTAAGTGATCAGATCGAAAGGATCCAACGCAGAGCTCTACGAATAATCTTCCCAGATTGTTGTTATAATATTGCAATGGACCGCGCCGGTGTGGTGTCATTATTCATACGGAGAGAGACGATCTGTAAGAGATTTTTGAACGAATGCGTACTGACGAAGCACACAAGTTACATTCCCTTGTCCCTTCCAATCGGGATACAGAATATTCCCTTCGGGGTGGTAATAACAAACTATCAATACCTAGGTGTAGAACTAATAGATATGCAAACAGTTTCATAATTGCTGGAAGTAAAGCTTTTAACATTAGTAAAACTTAATATAATTAACCATGTAATTATTACTATAATAATTCTTAATCTGATTGTATTTTGTATTTTAATCCTTTTAATCTTGTAAACCGATGTAACTCAGTCCTTGACTGCTAAATCGGTCTTTTTAATAAATCTATCTAATATGTATCACTGAATCTTGGCTTACATGTAACACCTCTGTTGTGAACTCAATGATTTCGTTATCGAACTTCATCCAATTCAGAAATGATCGCACATACTCCTGCGGTGGCGGCGTTTGCATTTATATTAAAGAAGAAATTTACTGTAGGAGGCTCGAGCATTTCGAAGATCGAGCCATTGAATCCCTATGGTTACTACTTAGACCTAAGCGTTTACCAAGATCTATATCCGCTCTTCTACTTGCAGTCATTTATCACACCACCTCCTCCAGCGCCAACGAAAACTTTGAACTGTACAACCATATCCAGCGTAATGTTGAATCCTTCCTTTCTCTGCATCCTGATGGTCTCGTTTTTGTGACTGGGGATTTTAACCCTGTCAGTACATTATTTGATGAAAGACGGTTGAAAAGATTGTCCGGCTTAACTCAAATTATTAAAGTCCCAACACGTCATAACGCCATCTTGGATTGGTGTCTCACAAATGCCAAGAAAGTCGTTTTTTATGTAAGCCAGCTTCCTCCTATTGGCTCGAGCGACCATAATGCCATTTTAATAAAACCCCATAAAGATCGTCTGGAGAATTCGTGTAATTAACGAGTATGCAAAATTCACATATATGGAAACGCGATCTCAGAGATAGCAGGATACGGCCTTTTGGACGATATATCACTACATTTGACTGGTCTCCTATCTTGGACATACATGACTGTGATACAAAATATGAAAAGTTTAACGATACAATGACTGTGATGATTGAAAAATTCTTTCCCTTGGAACGGATTAAAGTACGAAAGTGTGATAAGCCTTGGATGACGTCATCAATAAAGTCTGCTATTGGGAGACGCCAAAAAGCCTTACACGAAAGCGGGAAAAATTCAGATATTTATAAATATTGGCGTAACAGAGTCCAATCATGCATTAAAGTTGCACGAAAGATCTACTATATGAGGTCAGTTGAGAAATTAAAAAATTCTAACCCGGCAAGATGGTGGAAAGAAGTGAAAGCCATTGGTGGTCTCTCGTCAAAAAATTCTTGGTATTCTCAGCTATTTTCTGATGATGTTCGGAACTGCGAAGAACTGGCCGAAAATTTTAATAACTTTCTTACTGCCCTTACATCACATTTTGACCCTCTAACTCTCGACGAAATCCAGGAGGGCCTAGAAGTACCAAACCATTACCTCGTTGACGCCCAACAGATCTATATGAAACTTAGTAAAATTAAAACCACAAAATCACCGGGTCCTGACATGTTTCCAAAGAAAATCCTGAAAACATTTGCCTTTGAGCTTGCCCCAGTTATCTCAGACATTTTTAACTCATCCATGACACAAGGCACCTTCCCAAAGGCATTGAAGAGATCTATTGTAGTGCCTGTCCCTAAGGTATCACCCCCAAAGAGTATTGAAGACGACCTACGACCAATATCTTTAACATCTCAAATCGCCAAAGTTATGGAGGATTGTACTTTGGACAATTTTTTTCCTGAAGTTGTAAATAAACTTGACACCAAACAATTTGCACTCCCAAAGAAATCAACGACCCACGCTTTGGTCTACCTTTTACATTCAATCTTGGTTGCTCTTGAGAGAGGTTCCTGTACTGCCAGATTGTTCTTTGCAGATTTCAAGAAAGGTTTTGACCTAGTAGACCACAATGTTATTATTAAAGAATTAACCCTGCTTGGTACCCATCCCTCTATAATTCGGTGGATTAAAGCCTTCCTCTGCGATCGCGAACAATGTGTCCGGGTGGGAACTTCTATGTCCTCTTGGAAGAAAACAAATGGTGGCTTGCCACAAGGTACAAAGTTGGGTCCATTATTGTTTGCTGTTCTCATTAATTCCTTACTCAAAAACTGGCCCAGTAGGATCAAGTTTGTGGATGACACCTCAGCCCTAGAGATTATACCACGTTTTTCATCCAGTTTAATGCCATTAGTCGTAAATGAAATCTCGGACTACGCCTTAGAACGTGGAATGGAACTAAATTATAAGAAATGCAAACAAATGTTGATCAACTTTCTTAAATATAAAGGATCTGATGATGAAAACCCGATCTATGTTGCAGGTAAACCGGTGGAAACTGTGTCCTCTTTCAAACTCCTAGGTGTATGGATATCAAACGACTTGTCATGGAATACTCATGTCGACATGGTATTGAAAAAGGCAAATTCTCGCTTATACGCATTGCGTCTGTTAAAAAAGGCTGGTCTTCAAGCATCTGACATCGTCCAAATATATATCTCATTCATCAGATCCAGAATTGAATATGCATCCCCTGTATGGTCGTCAATACCTAAATCATTATCTGACATTCTCGAATCTGTTCAAAAGAGAGCATTGAGAATAGCTTATCCAGATCTGTTATATGATGAAGCCCTTGAAATTTCAAACTTACAGTATCTGAGTACTTGTAGAGACATCTCTTGCAAGAAATTCGTCGAATCTCTGCGACGTGATGTTTCACCCTACAACCCTTTGACCCAAATTATGGAAATTCGTCCCGGGGTAAAAACTCATGATTATGACTTAAGGAATGACAGAACGGCCGAACAACCTTTATGGTCAGAAACCACTGAACGGTCAAAAAACTTCGTGACTAGGAAATATTATTAGCTTTATAGTTAATTAACAGTCCTAACTAAATAAACATTATTTTATATAATATATATATATGTACATTTTAATATAAATTTTTATGCTATATTATAGTACTCCATGTAATTCAGTTTTCCTTTAAAAACTGCAAATTGGTTTTAATTAAACAGATTGATTGATTGATTGATTGATTGAATAGACTATTACATCTACCGATTGGACGGAAATATTCGAAATTCCTGATCCTAACTTGAAGTACCGGAGATTTAATGAGGTGGTGTCAGCAATGATGGATTGTTTTTTCCCAAATAAACCAACTAGTGTTAGGGAATCTGATAAACCATGGATGACGTCATCGCATGGATGAAGTCCTCCATTAGTAAGCGGCAAAAATCACTTCATAAGTACGGAAGAAATTCACAAGCATATAGATTTTGGCGCAATAAAGTTCAACGGGATGTTAAATTGGCACGTAGAAAGTCCTATGCGAATTCCGTGCAGAAGTTGAAAAGTGCAAACCCTTCCAGATGGTGGAAAGAGGTTAAATCCATAGGGGGCCTCTCTTCTCGGGAATCTTGGGTACATCAACTACTTTCTGAAGTAAACCCCACCTGTGAGGACCTTGCTGAGTCATATAATGGATATCTTGTTGGACTTACTTCGCATTTTAAACCCTTGCTAGAATGCACCGATGACCAGGAGACAGAAGTTCCCAATTATCTACTCGTAAATATAGGGCAAGTTTATTCAGTGCTGCGGACGTCTTAAAACGACGAAGTCTCCTGGCCCAGATGGTATCACAAATAAGATTCTGAAAACCTTTGCTTTTGAATTTGCCCCTGTCATAATGGATATTTACAATACATCAGTGCTTCAGGGAGTCTTCCCTGATCAGCTAAAACGTTCTATCGTCGTTCCCATTCCAAAAGTGTCACCACCTCAGACCATTGAGGATGATTTAAGACCTATATCACTCACAGCTCAGGTATCTAAAGAGATGAAAGGATTTATGCTACAGTCCCTCATGTCGGAAGTGGGTCATAAATTGGACCCAAAGCAATTTGCTCTTCCGGGAAAATCAACCACTCAGGCACTCGTTTATCTCCTCCACGTGATCCATGCTGCTTTAGATCAAGGCCACTGCTCTGTAAGAATTTCTTTTGCTGATTTCAAAAAAGGTTTTGATCTCGTCGACCATAATGTCAATATTGATGAACTTTTAAAATTACAAGTGAGTCCTGCCATTATAAGATGGATAAAGTCGTTCCTTACTTCCCGCGAACAGTGTGTAAAAATCGGATCATCCACTTCCTCATGGAAACCCGTGAACGGTGGCCTACCTCAAGGAACTAAACTTGGGCCTCTTCTCTTTGCCATTTTAGTCAATTCCCTCCTACAGGACTGGAATGGGCGGATAAAGTTTGTAGACGATGCTACTGCACTAGAAGTTGTTCCACGTTGTTCTCCTAGCTTGCTACCTATCCTCGTAAATGATGTATCTCAGTATGCCTCAAGTAGAGGAATGAAGCTTAACAGTAAGAAATGTAAGGAGATGATAATATCCTTCCTCCAATACCACCTTCCACTTGATAATGCGATCTATATAGATGGTTCGCCAGTGCAATCAGTATCCTCCTTTAAACTGCTCGGTGTGCTGCTGAGAGAGGATCTATCTTGGTGTGATCATGTTGACTATGTGACTAAAAAAGCAAATTCCAGACTCTATGCATTGCGGAAGTTAAAAAAGGCTGGGTTAAGCGATAAAGACCTTGTCACTATATATTCCTCCTTCATTCGGTCCCGAAATGAGTACGCTTCACCAGCGTGGTCAGCGCTGACCCATGGCCAGTCTGACCTTATCGAATCGATACAGAGAAGAGCATTACGTATCTTGCTTCCCGAAATGTCGTATCAAGACGCATTGAATTATACCGGTCTAAAAACGTTGAGTACACGTAGACATAATTCCTGCGAACAATTTATCCGGAAATTGAAGCTTGACAATGGTCCTATAAATCCTCTTAAGGATGTTGTTGCAACTCGCATACATCCAACTACTCATAATTATAATCTTAGGTCCAAATCAAGCTGGTCACTCCAAACGAACACAGAACGGTTTCAAAATTTTATAACTGTTAAATATAATTATTAATGTATTATTGATTTTGTAGTACTCGTGTATATTCAGGTACCCAATTATAATTTGTGGACATATTTAAGCTGACTATTCAGAACGAACATTGAACGGTTTGAACTCAATTTTATCTGTAAATTTAATTTTTAATGTATTTACTTATGATCATGTAATTCAGTCTTTACTGCATTTTATTATTATTATTATTTAAAAAAAAAACAAAAAACGTGGATTTCCGAAAACCTGGACTCAGTTTTCAAACAATACATTCGTAAATGGCTTGAGGTACCTATTTCTGGATCACTTAGTAACATTTACCTAACCAGTAACAAATTTGGTCTGAACATTATCCCCCCATCAACAAAATTCATACAATGTCAAACAACTATCCGCAGTGCTTTGAAGTCATCTCCTAATGAATCAATAACCCACCTCTGGAAGTCGACCTGTAATCATACTAACACCCAATATGATCAGTATACATCGACAAAAGAAGTAATCAAGTCATTCCGAGAAATTCATGTAGATAAATTGGAAAATCGGTTAAAATGTCAAGGTTCATTCCTCTTCAGCATCTCAAAATTTTCACTACCCCAAGTAAATTCGATTTGGCCAACCTGTCAATCCAAACTACCAAAAAACATTTTCAACTTCACTATTCGCTACATAAACAATTCGCTACCAACCCGTAAAAACCTTCAAAAATGGGGACTCTCTTCGTCCTCTGAGTGCTCGTTTTGCTTTAAACCTGAATCTCTGTTACACGTTGTTGCTGGCTGTAGTTCCTATCTTGATCGATTTACTTGGAGACACGACTCAATCCTAAATTTTATTGCTAATAACCTCCCATCAGAACATATTCAGACCATTTATGCTGACTTACCATCATTCCCTAATCCCTCTGTTATTACTGGCGATGACTTTCGTCCTGATCTACTAATTTTGACCAAAGACAATTGTTTATATGTACTCGAACTAACCGTTGGATATGAGACTAACCTAAGGAATAATATACAGCGCAAATACTCAAAATATAAAGAGATGATCGTAGAACAAAAGAAAAAATTCCGGCCGGTATAAAGTTCATTTACCTCTCAATCAGTGCACTCGGTGTTTTTGAAAAAGAATCGTCAGATTTTATACAAATGCTGGAACATTTGAACTCAGATAAGGCCTGTGTTAAATATATCATTAGGAAAATCATTAACATTGCAATAAGAACGACACATTACGTTTTCTGTTGTAGAAACAAGGATTGGTCGAATCCAGATTTAATGAACTTCTAGTTAGTCTGTTACTTTTTGTATCATATAATTATGACCATGTGTTATGTAAATGTAATAATGTATAGTGTATCAAGTAGCCAATTGTAAATTACCTTTAACAGTGAGATTTTCAATTGTAAGTGCATAAAAAATTCAATAAAGTTTTCATTATTATTATTATTATTATTATTATTATTATTATTATTATTATTATTATTATTATTATTATTATATTACACGCAAGAACCTTAGCAGATGGGGATTGTCTTCAAGTTCAGAATGCTCCTTTTGTCTTGGCCCAGAATCATTATTGCACGTGGTCGCTGGATGTCAGTGTTATCTCGATCGATTTACGTGGAGACACAATTGACCATTTGCGTAATAGACTACATTTTGAACTAAACAAGTCTAGACAAAAATTTTGAAAGAGCTTGAAGGAGCATCACAAAATTAGTAATATTCCAAAGTTTCGTTGCAAAATGTTGTAAAATGCGGAAAATATAGCCTATGACAAACGGGAAATTGACAGCCTCAAACCCTTCGAGGCTGTCAATTTCCGGTTTGTAATCTAAAATGACTGAAAATTGCAAATTTCGCAAGGCTATATTTTCCGCATTTTACAACATTTTGCAACGAAACTTTGGAATATTACTAATTTTGTGATGCTCTTTCAAGCTGTAATGAAATTTTTGTTGAGATCAAAATTTAGTCTATTACGCAAATGGTCAATTCAATCCTGAACTTCCTTGCCAATACCTTGCAAACTGTGAACGGTTCTGCCCTCCACGCTGATGTGCCTGGATTCAAAAGTCCGTCAATAATAACTGGTGATACGTATCGCCAGGATTTGTTGCTATCGTTATCAAATGGCTCTCTTTATGTGGTCGAGCTCACTGTTGGCTATGAGACAAACCTCGAGAACAACGTTAATCGGAAACAAGCCAAATATAAAGAACTAGTAAAACAACTAGACGAAAATTTTAACGAAGTAAACTTTATAAATCTTTCTATGAGCTCCCTAGGTATTTTTGCGCAAGAATGCTCTACATTATTAGAAATGTTAGGAAATGTTGGTCTGGACAAAAACTACCAAACGTACTGTGTTAGGAAAATGATGACTATTGCCATTCGAAGTACATACTATATTTTTTGCTGCCGAAATAAGGAATGGGAAAGTCCGGACTTGTTAACTATTTGAAATATCTGATTGTCTTGTATATTTATATATTTTCATGTATTCTGTCTTATCATTTTTATTAGTTCATATAGTTGTGATTCAAATAGCCAATTGTAGTTACCTTAAATTAGTGAGATTTACAATTGTATATATATAGTATATAACAAAATTATTAAAGTTTCCATTATTACTATTATTATTATTATTATTATTATTATTATTGTTATTATTATTATTATTATTATTATTATTATTATTATTATTATTAT